TATATATACATTTTTTTTCCTTGGATTTTTTTCTTTTAGTCGAAGTCTAATGAACGCAACGCGTTTCGGCTCTTAGCTGTTAATCTTACTGTATAGCCATTTAAGGCAACCCGAGCTCTGCTTCTTAATTAAATTATGTGTACCGCTGGGGCACCCTACGGCCTCAGGCTTAGCAGCGGCAGCAGAGGCAGCTACAGCAACCATATAACTATCTATCTGGCCGAGGCAAACATCCATCTTATAAGATAGTCTCTGATGATGTCGCTGCTGATGAGTCGAGACCCGGAACGGGTGAGTACCACTCAGTGGGCAACAGTTTTGGGGCGTTGCTGTTAACTTCACACACACACACACACCAGCCACATTATGCGCCTAGTCAAAGAGAAAGGCTGCCAAAAAGGTCAAATGGTCAACAGCTGGTGGTCGGTCAAGTGGTAAAACCTACAAGAACCAAACAGCAACAACTACAAAAACAACAACAACAGCGACACACGCTCTCTATGGGCTTGTTAGTTGCGCTAGATGGTATGGCCCAATCCGAGCGAACACCCCCTCCCCACCCCCCCACCCCCTCATCCTCATACCATTCCACTGCTGCCGCCTCAATTTAACTGCCTTCGACTGGAGCTCGGGTTCTGGCTCAGTGGGCAGCCAACAGCTGTGGCCCATTGTCGTTGCGTTAGAAATGGAGCCACGCTCGGAGGGAATCGACGTGAATCCGTTTTATGGGCCCACAAGTGATTTTCATGTTGATTACGAGCCAGCGTTACGCCTGCAACAGGTTGCATGACGCCCGAGGCACTCGCATTAAATGGAAATCAAAATGGAAATAGAAACAATTAAGCGCGTCTATTTCATTAGCTAAACGAGCTGCATGTAAGGCCTGAGCATTAACTACTGTTAGCGAATGCTTTCACTTTCGCAATAAAGAATATATATACATATATATATATAGATATGATATGATGATATATGCGCATATATGTCTGCTTATTCATTCGCTCTTAGATATGACATGTCGAAATATTTAAATATATATGAGAGAAGCCCATAAGCATTTGGCTAAAGCCAGAGACCCTAATAGCTTTTTGTTTCCAGAGTTTGGCATTCGCATTCGCCTAGATTGAATATATTACCACCGCAAACGAATGAACTTTGACACTAAAGCCTAAAACCCGGAACACACATGCCCCGCACATAATTCGCATGCATAAAGGTATAACCGGAACTTTGGCTATCCGGTAGATAAGTATTTTGATTGCAAACGCAATAAATCTGATTGCAGGCGATAAAACATTTCTGTTTGCAATTCGTTTAATTAAGCATTTGCATAATTTGATAAAGTCCGCTAATTAAAAGATTCTTTAAGCCAAGCGACTTCATGATTAATCTTTAAGCGCAGCTCCACAAATATCAATGACAATCTATCGCAGAAAAACTTCTAAATGGGCCTCCATCTAGTTTATTTTTTCTGTCGCTCTGTTTGCTATGTATCTCGATACTATGTCAATCGCATTGTCATTCTATTCTGCCTTTAAGTCAGTTTTAACTACAACCAAATGTGAATATATTTAATTGATTAAAATTAATATTATTAATCAAGATAAAAACAAGATAATAGATAGAATGTCAGATTCAGATGCCACACGTGTCCGTCTAATATTGTATTTAAGTTATCTAAATAAATCGGATTTTGTGAGCTTTGAATTTTGTGAATTGAATTTTAAGTTCGGATGTCTTGATTAAAATACATATACATATATATCAATCTAACAATTTCACATAAACATAATATTTATATTTAGATAAAAAAAAAGCAAATTCAGAGAGATAATTGGAGGTATCGATAAAAGATGTAAATAGCAAGTTATTTAAAGATTAAGTAAAATTTCAGCGGATATTTCTCATGTCTAGAGAAAATGGTTTAAAAATAATTTTGAATGATTTATAAGCGGTTAAGCGGTAAATGCTTAAGCTTAATTATTTTCAGCGACTATCTAGAAACCAATTTGTTTGTTTTTTTTTTTTTTGTTTTTTTTTTGTGAAAGATCCATCCCAAATTATTCGAAAACTTTCAACTTTCATTGAAGTGTCTTGAGTCTGTGGCAAATCGCTTAGGGTTTAGCCATAAAATTGGTTCTGCTTATCAATTACAGATTTTTTACCTGCCACCCACTACGAAAGTGGGACTTACTTAAGCTGCCAACTGTTATAATTAAAAATCCCGCCTCCGATCGCTTTTCACTCCAGATGCAAAATGGTTTCTTTTCGAAATGCTCACTTGACCCGTTTAGAAAAGCCAACCTTACGCAGATTACGGCTAGTCCATTGATTAATTACTCGGAACCATATTTATCGAGCGTTGGCAAAGAACGGCAAAAAACAACAACAACAACCCCGTGTATAGAAGTAGCTGCAGATGGAGCTTTAAGATGGGAATGTGTATAATTAGCAACTTACCACGCGGCGAACGTAGACTCAAATCAACTGGCTCAACTTGAACCGGAGGGCCCTCTGCCTGCAAAAGAAGAACACAGAGGGAGAGAGATAGAGATGGATTGAGCGTAACAGATAGAGAGATAGCGAGAGAGAGAGAGAGAGAGAGAGAGAGAAAGAGTGAGGCGGAAAGATTGAAAGATTTTGAGATTATTATCAAGAACAACATCATTATGATTAAGAATGTGGCTTATTAGATATGCAAGTAAACAATAAGGCCATAAGCTACGGCTACGGCTAATCAAGTTTGACAAAATGCTGAAGAAGAGAGAGACAAGAGAGAGAGTCTGTGCGTGTGTGTGTGTGTGTGTGTGTGTGTGTGTGCGTGTTTGGTGGCTGTTTGGCTTATTGAATTCAACTGCGTGGAACCGCAAACGACTTCCGTCGGGACGAACGCTTCTGCATCTGCTTCTGCTTCTTCATCTTCTTCTTCTTGCTGCCCCATATGCGAAACCGCAATTGTTGCGCATTAAGCGCTTACGAAATTTTTGAGCAATAAACTAGCGGCAATAAAACCGAGCCGACAAACAAATATTTAAAAAAAAAAGATATTTATATATATGTATAACAAAACTACAAAAAGAGCTGGCTTAAAACAGTTATTGGCTGCCCGCAGCGCCATAAAACGGATAAATTTTAATTTAGCATTGCATATGCATCAGAGGGAGGAAGCAGGGAGTTTGGGAGTGCGAAGTGTAAAGTGTGAAGGGGGATGGGGAGGACGGGGGAGGGCAAACGAGGTACTGCTTGGAACACTGAAGCTGTGAGCTGGAGGTGCGAAAGCGCCAACACTTCGCGTTTCGCGACATTCGAAGAGCTTTTGGCCAAACGGATGCAGCGCACTGCTGTTGCATACAAGCTGCCAACAGAATAACAACAACAGCGAGAATAGCAACAACAACAACAACAACAATAAAAACATTGCCCAGTGGGCAACAAACGACAATTGTCAAGCTTGTAGCGCAAATTATGAAAAAATGTCAGCGTCGAGTGGGCGATTTACAAGCTGGCCAACTTCTAGATGCTGAGATTTTTACACTTGGCCAGCCACGCGATGCTGCCTGCCCTGTATATGCCATTTGCTAATAGGGTATGATTGATCTTCACCTAGCCTAAGTATTAGGCAAATCTAATTTTCCGTATTGCAGCAATATATTAAGAAAATATAAATCAATTTTGTATGCTTCTTCAGAGTTTTTAAATTCGAATAAAGTTCAGGGCCTCATCTATCTTAACAGAACAGAACATTTTGAACATAGACTTTTTATTTGTATGTTATCTTACAATATTTTATTACTATATATTAGTACTACTTATTATTACATATTACAAATACTACTATATTAGACTATTCATATTTAAGCTCAGTTTTTGCTACTGAAACGATTTATAAATATATATAGTTATTTCTAGTTATTTATTTATTTCTAGCTATTAAAAATAATCCGTTTACACCTAGAATTATTTTAGAATTTCAATTAAATACAACGAAATGACTTTACATTCTTACTCTATTTCGTACTTTTGATTTCAGCTCTGAAAAAATTATGACTTTCCTATAATCAAAGATTTTAGCTATATGCATTTAGAACCCTTTAGATTTTCAAACTGATTGAACTTTTAGCTCTGACTGTAAAACGTATGTAATTTTAGCAATAATATTGTTTTTTTTTTTTTTTTTTTTTTTCTTTGTTAGGTAATTAAAAAGAGATAATTAAAAGTCGCTCACTTGCAATATGGCTCAGGGTAATTACAAGGTATTGTTTTAGTCGAGCTACCCCTGAGGCGATGTTAGGTGCAGTTGTCGTTGTTGTTATTGTTGTTGTTAGTTTGTTGCGGCTGCTGCATTTATTTATTCAAACAAATGCTCATTGCCTTTGAAAACAACATTAGATTAGATAGTTTGTCTTCGATTGTGTCCGGCGGAGCAGTCGTTGGAGCCACTGGGGCCATTGGGGCCGTTAAGGCCAATGCACATGCAATCGATGACTTTTGGGCTATTTTATCTTATGGATTGCATTGACAACAACTTCATCGGACACATCGAGAGCCGAGACCCGAGAGCCGAGAGTCGATACGAATCGAGATGCATTGCGATTGATATGCGGGCCCAACAACTGTTCAGCCATTTTATCTAATTGCCTCGCTTAACTGTGCTGATTTATTGCCCGAGCTCTTGATCTGCCAGTGTAGAGGCCCCTGCCTAGCCCGGTCCCCACTCCTACAGACCGCCCGCCCTTCTTTACGATATTGTTATTGGCGTTGCAATCGCTGCGCTAATTTGTGTGAGACGTGCTGAAATGTCTCATAGGCGCCGAGCCCGAGAGGAGTTGACCATTAGCTGCGCCTGTCCAGCATCGTCACGTCGTCAGCGCCGTCTCCGGCCCACCTCCACTCCTCTCTCTTTCTCTCTCGCCCCAGCTGATGGCCAGTTTTATGGATTGTTTTCCGATTGGTATGCGAGCTGGCAAATAATATTTGCCGACAGGAATTTTTCGGGCAAAAAATCAATTGCTGTGCGGCTTTTGCTTTGAGGCGTGCGCGATTTGCTGCAATTGATGAGCCCCATAAGTTGTCCAGTGGCAGAACTGGGAATAGCCTTGGCGATATCATTACTGTTACCACACGCCGAACTACATCGTCTACTTCAAAGTATCTAAGAATGAAGGCAAATCACCTTAATTGATTGTGATTCGAATTGACTGGATGGGGGAGCTAATATCTGAGGACGAAGTGATTATACTGGTATATCATATCCGATACATATAGAATCTTTTATCGATAATTTCCTTTTCATTAGTTTGATAGTTTCAGCTCAGTTTCAATTTTGAGATCTTGTTCTCTTGGTATTCTCTTCAGGTTTATTTGATTATCTAAATCTACAATCTAAGTAACTCTAATAATGCTAGTGGCAGCTTCTATAATAGAGGAGAAGTCTATGGTGATGAGAACATGAATGCAAATACAAAAGTAGTTAATCGACCAAACAATTATAATTTATCAATTGTATAATAAATATCAAATTAAGAATAACATGAATTCAACACCTAATAACAACAAAAGTAATTGCATGCTAACTGTCATTCAATTGTGATGGAACTTTAATTATGTTTTAATGTGCAGAGGAATCAGTTGGGATCCTTTAGATTCGTTTGAAATAAGATATTTATCGAAAATATCTCAGGTATATATACTTTTACTGGTTCATAGATCCTAACCACCATTTACCGATTCTATCGTATTCAATTGATGATCTATGATTATTATGAAGGCTCTAAACCTATAAGACTTCAGTGTAGTTAAAGGTTCTATATAATACCGAAACTCACCTCCTTTGCTGACAGAGGGTCGGATCCCAGTCCATTCTGGAAGCAAAGAGGAAGAAGCGAAAATCAAACAGGGTATAATAAGATAAGAAAAAGTCTGTGTGAGTGTGTGTGCCACGATTGCTATGAAGGTGTCAGCCCGGCCTCCGTGTGTCTCCGGATGCACTCAGAGGCGTCTGCTGTCCAAAAAGGGCAGAGCAAACAAGGCCGTGGATGGTGAAAGAGAGGGGAAAAGGCAAAGAAAACTTGACTCGCACTGGGACAGGGAAAAGGAAGGTGCGAGAAGGCAGGAGCCTGGAGGGAGGAAAGTGTAAGAGTGTGGGAAAGTGCTAAGCCGAGCTGAGCAAAAACGGGGGCACATAGCATATGGCATTGGCGTTTTGGTGCTCCGGCATTGTGAGTCGAGTGGTGCTTACCATGAAAACCATTAAATTGTAAAACGTCTTACAAAATAATAATTGCCCGGCAACGTTCTGGCCACGTTACGGAACTACGACAGCAACTGCAACGCTGGCGACGACGACGACGACGGTGCTTGAAATAATCGCTGCAACTATTGTAGTTAGTCTCTATTGTCGCAGCAGCTGTTACCGTGTGCCACTGCTGCATGCTACCCGCCAAATCAATGACAACAAACACAACAACAACAACAACAATAATAACGGCGGAATCGGAGGTGGAGGCGGAGACGGAGACGACGACAGAAGACACAGGCAGAGTGCAACGCACCAAGCGGGCGATAGTTGTAATTGCTATTTAAAATTTGGAAAATTTGTTGTTCTTCTCTCTGCTTCGGGTTTAGCGACGGCGACGAAGCAATCGCGGCGGCAGCGACGTTGGCCGCCGCATTGTGCAAAAACAACTTGCAGACGAAGCGAAAAGCTTTGCAGTGCGTGACGCGTGCGATCGAGGGGGTTGCTGCTATTCAAGTGAGCGAGAAAGCGACTGAGCGAGTGAGTGAGTGCGCGAGTTGCTTAGCTGGCCATAGGCAAATATTTATTGAGGCGGCAGCGCATGACCGTATTGAGATTGCGTGCGTGTGTTTGTGTTCCACAATTATTCCGCTGTTCCACTGTCCGCGCTTATTGTGTGAGCCGACGCTTGGGCGTCAAACGCACAAAATTCATAAATACATCCGGTCCGCTTCACTTATTAGCACTTATTGCAGCCGGCTGGCTTCCTGGGCGGGGGTGTTACACATTTTCCTGCATATCCGCTAAATTGCCGGACACGCAGCCTCGGGCGCAACAAGCAGCAATCAGCACAGCAAACGCACATACACACACACACACACACGATGCACACTTAATTCGATCAACTGTTGTTGTTGCTGCTGCTGCTGGGGCGTTGCAATCACGCGCTGTGTAGTTGTAATCAAAAGGCTAGGCACATGCTACGCCCCACGGGCTGCCGCGTGTTTAAAATTTATTGACACTCAGCTACGTACGAGTACGTATGTACATATGTATTTCTTGTAGGTGTGTGCTTGCTATGTGTGTGTGCAAATTACAGCACATCCGTCATTTTAATTTCACTTAAAACGCCATTTAAGTCAAACGCACGCACGCACGCGCAGCAAATGCAAAAAACGAGAGCAAACGATAACAGCAACTGCAATAAATGCCGGCAGCCCAAAGAAGACAAACGGAAAACGGCAAACGGAACGAAGAAACGGCTTGAAACTGAAACACAGGCGAAGCGTACGCTCATAACGGTCGACGGGCAGCCAAAAGGAGTTCGTATTGTACCGTTTGTCTTTACGCGAAGCTTGGGACGACTATGAACGAAGCGCGACACACGACCGACTAGCGCCACGTTCGCTGCTGGAATGAAACTAGCCGCAGCCAACATGTTGCGTTGGAGCAGCTCAGCATACCTGTATGTTGTTGTCTGTATTCGTGAATAGGCGTATGTGAGTGTATGTGTGTGTGTGTGTGTGTGTGTGTGTGTGTGTGTGTGCGCCAGTTTGTTTGTTTTGTTAAGGTGGAGCTAGGCTAAATGACAAGTTGGCGCGCATATTATTGGGTGGCCAACTGTTTACATTGCCTCACACCTGTGTGTGTTAGTAGTGGCAGTGTTTGTGTGTGTGTGTGTGTGAGCGTCTATACATATGTGCGGCTGCTTGCGTATTATTAATTAACATGCATAGCCACATACAGACGCGCGACAAGTTTGGCGTAGGTGTTGGCGCCAGCGTTTCTCATTGGCTGTCGGCGTTTGCCCAAAAGCAATTAATATAACAGCACATAAAGCACCGCTGAATCTGTGTGTGACTGCTCTTCAGATGCTTGCACGTCCATCAGACTTGTTACGCTTTGTTTTCGGTTAGTTTTGTGTTTTCGCTGCTTAATCTTGCGCTGCATCTACGCCACGCAAAAGGCAAAACGCAAAGCGCACAACGCAAACGAGGCGAATTGGCGAATCGACGAGCGGGGCGAACAGGCGCACAGTCTAAAGCGCAGACGCAACGCGAAGCGACGACTAAAGACATTTGGGCAACCCGCGACGTAGCTGTGGGAGTTTTTTCTCTTACCCCCAGCTTGCACTCGCCTCTCGCCGCGCTTTGCACCGTTAGACGCGGCTGATCCACTTTTCCACGCGCTTTGACAACCATTTTTGGTAACAATAAATCGTGATACATCATCAAAAGTCAATTCAAATATGTAGACAACATTGTTTTTGTTGTTTTCGTTGCTGCTACTACCGATGCTGTTGCTCTTGTTGTAGTTGCTTTGTTATTCCTTTTCGCCTGACATGCCGCAATGCGAGACATAAAAAATATTTTAATTTTAATTGATTGTCGAGCGAGATTTACGTGCACCAAAAGTTGCTTCTCACGCTCACACACACTCACACATGCACATGCAGTTAGATGACAGGATTAGGATTGGAATTGTCAAAATGGAAAGCGGCTGCTTCTCTTTTTGCACGCAAAACAGAGCTCAGCTCGGATCAGAGCGCGAATTTCTTATAGGAAAAACATCCAGACGTTACGTTTTTTCTCCTGCATGTACTTTTTTCTTCTGCTCATCGAAATCAACATAAACGCAGTTGAAATCAATATACTACGTGACTTAAGCGTAGCCAATACCTAAAAACAGCAAATCACTTCAAACAAAAAGCAAAAAAAGAATTAAATCAAAAACAAACACAACAAAAACAGAAAAACAAAACAAATGATTTGCTATAAATAAGACGCACAGCAAAGTGTATGCATACTTTCAGGCGCCACTATAAACTTTATTATTTGTATTATAGTCAAGTGCTGCGCTCTTTTTCACGCAGCTGCGATCGTAGCAAAGACAACAACCAAGCGCAAGCTCCAATGGATTTTTATTGGCATCACCTTCAGCCCACATTCAATGCAACGCTGAGAAACGCTGAGAAAACTAAGGTAAAGGGAATTTATAGTTAATTAAAATATTTTAAATATAAAATGGTTCATCGAAATGCATGTTTTATAGGTTTCACTCACCAATCAGGTAAAGATTGCCCACGACGGAGCATAAAGTGAAGACAAAAAAAACCCCTATCGTGGTTTTTCTCTGCCTCGTTCGCGGGTTAGGTAAGTCCTTAAAGGACGCGATTCCGGCGTACCTTTACCCTCGTATTTTCCAACGGAAGTTAGTTCGACGCATTAATCGGGTATTTTCGGTTTTCAGGCAGGCGGATAATTATATCCGGAAATTTGACTTTCGCCCGTATTTTAGGTCTTTTCTGTTTTTCTAGACGAGATCCTATATAGATGTACCTATATAAATACATGTAAGCGTGTGTGTGTGTGGGAATTTACTAATTACGCATAATGAAAACTTTCTATGGAGTTTCCTTTTTTGGATATTTAATGTAGGGTCGAAGACTAATGTTACGTATTTTAGTAAAAAAAGTAATGATTATAAATGACTTAGTTATAATTTAAATTTACTAAATATTTTGAAATGTGAAGCATATAAAAAAGAAAGTATTTTAACACATTTAAAAAATTATCTTTTAATAAATATTTTAAAGGGTTCAAGTTTATGTTTATTATTAGGTGTTTAATATAAAAGATACTACTATTTTTGTTTGCATTGTACACACTTTCTAAAAGCTTATCAATTTTTAGATATCCTCGCTCTTTGCCAACGGGTTTTTTTTTTAATAATTTTGTATATCTTCATAATAATGATTTCTTCTATAAATAGTAACTTTTATGTAAAAATAAATTTATTATTTTATATGTATATCATCCTTGAATAATACTGTAATAAATAATCAATAATATATTTAAATATAATATTACTACTTTTCTCATTTACTGCATACGAAAAATTCGCAAAAGCAAATAAACCCAGGTTCTCAAAAATCCAATGTGCTCTCCATCACTCCTACTCTGCTTCGCTCCCTTTCCGTCTCCCTCGCTCTCTTGCTATCGGTCGCTTGCTCTCTTCAGTCAGTTGACAAAACCCAACGAACGGAATTGCAGCCGCCGCGATCGAGAAAGTCCAAGAGCGAAATGCAGACAGAGGCGAATTGAGCTGACGTCATACCTGCGAAGCGGTCGCCATAGGCTCGAGTTCGCGTCAAGCGGCCGTTCCATGTGCTAGAGCGAGACAACTAATGTGCTGCGCAGCAAGAAGAGCTAGCAGCGAATGGCGAATAGCGAACGAGCAAAGCGCAAAACATCGATCTGAGCAATGGCCGGCAGGATCGTGCGTCAGTTGTGTTTCGTCTTTGTCGCTGCGTGCACACACGAGCTAAGTTAACGGAAAGCGGGGCGTGAGTCAGCCAAGTTAACAAGACAGATAAACAGTGCAAAAGATATATTCAATATATATAAATATAGATTTCAATATATATATATACAGATATTGTTGAGTGCAAAAGTCAAGTCAAATAGTTTCGAAATCGACAATCAAACAATGAGCACACGCTCGGTGTCGCCAAAGGTGTTGCTGGACATTAGCTACAAGCCAACGCTGCCCAACATCATGGAGCTGCAACATAATGTCATCAAGCTCATCCAGGTGGAGCAGCACGCCTATATGCAGCTAATGGACCAGCCCACAGCGCACTACATGCAACACCAGCACCAACACCAACCCAGCAACCAACACCAACAGCACCAACAACAGCATCAGCAACAGCCACAGCAACAGCCACAGCAACAGCAGCAGCAACAATATGCGCCGTTGCCTTCGCTGGCACCCAACGCTGCGGACTATGCGGCCTATGGCATAACTGAGTTGGAGGATACGGATTATAATATTCCAAGCAACGAGGTGCTCAGTACCAGTAGCAATCAGAGCGCTCAAAGCAGCCTGGAGCTGAACAACAACCAAAACAGCTTTGACCAGCAGCAACAGGCGTCGGCCACAGCAACAGCAGGAGGCGTGGCAGCTGCATCCCCTCATGGCTACTTGCTCAACGAACACGGCAAGCGGTCGCGCAGCAGCAGCGACTACGACTGCCAATCGGACGCCCTGTCCATGCAGCCCGAACACAAGAAACTGTTGCAGCAGCAGCAGCAGCAACAACAACAACAACAGCAACAACAATTATATGTGGACTATTTGCCCACCACTGTGGACGAGGTGGCCGCAGCTCAGACGCAGACGCAGGCGCCCAGCCAACAAACCTCCTGCGTCTCGCCCCACTCTCATTCACAGTCGCATTTCGATTTTACCGCCGACGAGGAGCTGCAAGATCACAAGCCGCAAATCTTTAAATATGGCGGATATCCCCAAGCAATCAATCAGCAGCAACAACAACAGCAACAGCAGCAGCAACAACATCAACACCCACAACAACAACAACAACTTCACTTCCAGAGCAACTACAGAGCAGGGTATGTAAAGCCTTTAAATCTAAATAGAGCAGCACCGTTCCACCAATTTCCGTTAACTCTGATACGAGCAGTAGTATACGAATAGTGGAAGATTTTTTCCTTTTAAAATATTCATTTAAATTGAGAAATATTAGAACGGGAAAGCTTTATTATATAGAAACATAAACCAGATCGAATATGCACTTCGAATAAAAACATTTCTCGAATCACAAATGAAAATTGAATATAAATTATATTCACATATATTCTATGCGAATAACGAGATATGTACTATATAAGATATGCATATGTATTACGTGCATATTTCAATACTCCTCCTCTTGGAATATTTTGAATGTTGAATCATATCCAGTCAATATCCTTGAACGAGATTTCCAATTCATACATACCATTTACATATGTGTGTTTCTAGTGTAAAAAAAAAAAAAAAAAAGAACTTGAGATCTGGTTTTGTTTTTCAAAATAAATAAATGCAAAATATGAGCGACTAAAAATTTCAACTAATTTGTTTCTTTTAATAAATTAAATAAAACTCATAAAAATCTAAAAGTGAAAATACAAAATGAAAAGAAAATTTCGATACTTAAAGTTGGCTCAGAAGAGTCCATAAGATTTGTACAAAGTATTTAATTTTGTACAAAGTATTTTAGGAGAAACACAGGTTTAAGACTTAAATCTCTACAAATAATGGATTACTATTTACTTATTATGTATTCTTACTTTACTTTATATGTATCCCCTTTAGACCGAATTACGACGCCTATGAACCGGCTAACAGTCTGAATGGCAGCGCCTACTCGAGTTCCGATCGCGACGATATGGAATATGCTCGCCACACCGCGCTCAGCTCAGTGGGCGGCTATGCCAAGGAGGATGAGCTCGAGGATATGTCGCCCACCTGTCTAGGGGACGAGAGCAGCCTGCTGGATGCCGGCGACGTGACCGGAAAAGCGTTTCGCAAGCCCCGCCGCCGGCTCAAGCGCAAGCCCAGCAAGTCGGAGGAGACGGACGAGTTCAGCAACCAGCGAGTCATGGCCAATGTCCGGGAGCGCCAGCGCACCCAGAGCCTCAACGACGCCTTCAAGGCCCTGCAGCAGATCATACCCACTCTGCCGAGCGACAAGCTGAGCAAAATACAGACGCTCAAGCTGGCCACAAGGTAAGTCCGTAATCGTTTACGCCGGGCATTTCCGGCCTGGGCTTAACCCAGTTCTTGCTAGCTCTGCAGCTCATACCTGAGTTGGAAACTTTACGCAATCCCGAAAATTCCAATGAACCGAAGACTATTTCGAATAGGAGCGCAACCCAAATAAATATCCCCAGCTCAACGAAGTGCCAGGAATAATTCAACTAGTTGTTAAAAAGTACAAATATTTTACGGAAAATGCCGGAAAGCTGACAGAAATTAAAATTAAATTTTGTGGAAATATTTCAAGAATATCTGAATATTAAATATAAATAAAAATAGTTTTGCGAATTTTCAGTGAAAGTTAAAGTTTTCTTACTTAAATTTTCATAATTTTACTACAAAATATCTATATAATTCTTTATTAAATTCAAAATACGTTATTTTCTATGCTTCAAAAATATTCTGAGCTGCGCTGAGTTTTTAAAGGATTTTCTATATCTTATCGAAATTTCTCTCATCCTTGCAGATATATCGACTTCCTCTGCCGCATGCTCAGCTCGAGCGACATCTCGCTGCTAAAGGCGCTGGAGGCGCAGTCGTCGCCGTTGTCGCCTGGCTATGGGAATGCCAACACCCTGCTGAGTGCCGCCAATGGGGCCGAGGCTGATCTCAAGTGCCTGCGCAAGGCGAACGGAGCGCCGATTATTCCGCCCGAGAAACTGAGCTATCTATTTGGGGTCTGGCGCATGGAGGGCGACGCGCAGCACCAGAAGGTCTAGGCGCAGGAGTGGGCGCAGGAGAAGTAGTGCCCACTGCCATTGGGGCTTCCAGTTACTGAACCATAATGCACACAGCGTGAATAATTCCAATGCGAGTGCCAGCGAGCACTTGCAGCTCTTTCCATATCTTATAGATGACTAAGCTAAACATTATTTAAATAATAAACCGTAATAAAAGGGGAAATGAATAGAAGAGCATCCTTAAAAGTATGTAAGCCAAATATTGCTTAGGTTTAATTGTATGTCTAGCGCTAACTAATTTAAAATGTATAAATTAAAAGAAAATATAATTCAAACAAACGAAAAACATCAAATCGCCATCGCCGCCATTTTTCTTACTTCTTGCGGCTGTTGTTTCCTCCTCGTTGTTGTTGCTCTTGTAGTTGTTTTTGTTGCTGAATATTTTCCCCCCATTAAATTAGGCGCGAAAATGTCGCCGTTCGGGGGGTCCAACTTTATGGTGCAATATATGAACATAAGTTCACATACGTACATACATACATATATATTAATGTATACATAACAACGTCGACGACATACTTAGAGCGTAACGTCATACCACGGACGATTCAGTCGAGGCAGCCACATTTATGTATCTCAAAGATACAGAGCCGAAGATCTGTTCCACTCTTTTTCGCTCTCTCTCTCTCTCTCTCTCTCTCTCTCTCTCTCTCTGTCTCTATATCTCTCGCTCTCTCACCCTCGTTTGCTCATGGGAAAGAAGCGTTTAAAGCGAAATTCTGTCGAGAAAGAAAATGGCAACCGGAGACGACGTCAGCCGAGGGCTTGGCAATGGGAACACCATCCACATCCGGTGATTTATGTTCATTTGTTTAATACTCATTTTTATTTTTCTCTCGTTTCATTTGGATTTTTTTGTTTTTTTGTATTTCATTTTGCTTGGAGTTTCCCCGGGCTGCGCATAAAACTGTTTACAATGTGTACACAAAAGTATTTATGTCGCCAAAAATGGCTATTTAAAATTCACATAATTAGCTCAGTCAGTTGATTTAGTCTGCGTGGAGAGCTTCAAAGACGCACCAAATATCATTTTTAGTTGCTACACTTAATTGCTTTTTAAATGACAGGCTGGCATGAATGTTTCGAATTATATACAAACTACTGTGGGCTATGCTATTCCTATTCCTTTGCCCATATGTAGAGGGATAAATATCCAGTCAACCACGTTGACAGGTTGTTGTAGATACACATACACAGTCGTTCCGTAAGTGGGGTAAATCTTTGAATATATACAGAGGTACTTGCGACTCTTTGAATGCCGAATGCCAAAGTGAGTGGTGGAGAGAGAGAGAGAGAGAGAGAGACATCCAGAGAAAAAGAGAGAGAAAAATATATATTGCCTACTCTGGCCTCTCTTCTACTTAAGTTTGAGCATCAAGCAGGGGTACCTAAGTATTACAAGATTGTGATATACTTTTAAAGTCCTTGTTATATCAATTATTAAGGATCCACAAACGGCTTGCTCTAGCAGAGATGATTTGGATGAGCTGCTTGTCTGTCCACGTATCTGGAATTGAGTCTCCTAATCAGCTCTGCAATCGTTAAAATCAGTTCTAGATGCCTCTGTACGACTGTATTCCTCACGAACCACCTAGCTCCAGTCCATCTTCTTAGCGCTTTATTTTGCAGAATTTTTACATTGTTATACCCTGAACCCATTGAAAATGGGAAATCAGGGTATAATGGTTTTATTAAAAGTATGTAACAGGCAGAAGGAGGCGTTGCAGACCCCGCATGTAAAAAGTAAGAAAGCTCTAGTCGAGACTGCTCGACTACGTGATCCCCTGAACCCTTCGATCAATAGCTGTTTCAATCATTTCTCGCGTCTTTCTGCTTACACAAAACACACACACACACGCATAGACGTTCCCTGCAGCCTGGAAAGCCCAGAACTTGGTATTGCTACCCAAGGCTGGCAAACCACCAGAGGGGCCATCTTCGTATAGACCAATCTGTCTGTTAGACACCATGGAAAAGGTGTTTGAGAAACTGATTGGCTCTAGACTGGAGACTTCTATTGTTACACACTTCCCCTTTACAAAGGGTTTAGGGTATAAAAACTTCAAGGAAATATAAATGTATCTGTATAAGTATCTGTCTTAATAAAGAACAAGTATTTACTATAAGAAGAGAGAAGAATAGACAATATTTGGCGAGTATAAAATCATCAGATATGAATGAAACATAAAGGAAATGATGAACAAAAACATAACTTTAAAATATTTAATAATATTTTTTGGTAAAACACATCAATGTAACTTTACAATATATATACAAAAATAATAATTTTAGATAAGGAGCATAATAAAATTTATAACGATACGAAATCCTCTAATTAGCGGGTTTAACAGTACGTTTATAAAATATTCATTCGAACTATACTATATGCTTATAAGGAAATCATATTTTCCTTGACATTGGAAACCGAAAACCCTAATTCTCCAGTATAAGAAAACATATTTAGTTCCACTCAATCCAATTGAGAGCTAGAGTTTCCCTGAAACGCAGGAACATTTTCAGATATATACACATATATATGTACATATATATACATCATTTCAAGGAGCGAACGAAACCACCTTTATATGGGAATACCGAATGCCCCAACCCCGAACTGTCAACGCCCCCAATAACTATGTCTGCGATGTTTGGGTACCTAAAGAGCATTTGAGAATCTTCTCAAATAACGCGCGTATAGATTGGGTAACTAAATTTAGAAATGAGGGATCTTGCACGCTACTACATAAACATATGCATGTCCTTGCGCCGCCATTTTCAAGCTGATTTCGGTCCATTGTAGTTTTCCTATTGTTTTTGCATGCCAAAAATTCACATGGCTGTTAAGGACGATCGTTGTGGCACATGGCAGTCAATGGCATGCGCTGCGAATCACAGCAAGGCTCTGACCAAAGGACCTCATGTTGCTTGCCAAACACCGTTTTTTCCTAACATATGTGACAGCAGCTCGACTCGACGCGGCTCAACTCGACTCGTAAATGAAATGAAAACAGCGCGCGTGGGAGTAGGCGCTGAATGCGTGTTGTGCCTGTGTCCTTTTTAGCTATTGCCTGAGCTGAAGTAGGCGCCGCCTAATGGTTCCTCAACGCTCAGCCACGGCCCATGTATGTGTCGAAAAATCCTCCTTTTCTCATTTCGATTCATTCAGGCAACTTACCAGCCCCGACAAAAGGGCGTCACACTGAACAACAGACATATATGGTGAATTGGAATTGCTTGCCTTATCCTATTTTCTTCTGTTGCCTGTCAAACTCCAGATTTAATTAGCTGCAGTTTCTATAACTTTAGTCTTTAGATATTAGTCCTGGGTATGGATATCTAACTGCACTGAAGTCAGCTTCAGTTTGTTGAAATATCCTCTTGATAATTTTGGATATTTTCTCAATGGCTCTTCAAAACTCTTTAAGTTCATTTCTGGACTGCATTCCGGAGCTAACCAATGCCTTATTGTTTTTTTTTTAACATTTATAAATATATATTACTTATATATTTCTTACGTATTACTCAAATATATTAACAATTATAATTTGAGTACGAAATTTTTTCTGTGTTGATATTTACTTAGCATAAATTATTATTATTATTGTACTGTGCCGAGCTCTATATAACTTTTGAAGAAGAACGATGCTCGATTCGAATAAAGATTTTACATTTATATTTTTATTGAGTTGCGGCCATGTAAAATATTAATGGCAATTTCTATGAATGATTTTATTTATTGGCAAAACCATTAAAACAAAATTTAAAACAATTGCCGAGTGCTGCGGGCCGCCAGACAGTTGCCCCCATGTTGCGAGCAACACGGTGTGTCCAAAAAGTATACGAGGCGTTTCGAATTTCGAAATGCGAGCAGCAGCTACTCGAAGAACGGAAGCTAGCGATGGAGGCGAGCGAGACATGGCAGGAGGAGGAGGAAGAGGAGCAAGWGCTGGAGCAGTAGGAGACTGCATTGTATGTGACCCAGAAGGCGAACGCATTCATTTGAGGCCTGTTGATTGATTTTTAGTAGGAAGCCTCCTGTCTTTCTGTCTCCCTCCGTTTCTCTCTCTCTCTCTCTCTCTCTCTCTCTCGCACTAGAAAACCTTCGCTTAGCAGAACATCTGCTTCACGCAACGTTGAATGCGACAAAATATGCACAGACTGAGTAATTAAAATCAATATTCGCGTCTCGAGGTGTTCAGGCATTTGTCGAACTGGACCAGCATCAAATCAACAGAAAATGCAATTTGCCTTCAGTTCGCTTTCGTTGTTGTTGCTAATGTTGTTTTGGTCGTGCTGGCTGCCGCTGACTGCAGCTCGAGTGCATGCGGCGATCAATCAACGATCAAAGTTCATCAAGTTGACCCAGCTGACTAATGGCAAACGCCCGAGTTGGCTTCGCACGTCAACAACAACAGCAGCAGCAAGTTGCGCTAATGTACTAGACACACTAATGTATACACACACACGCACACACGCACATACACTGACAGAGGTACGCTTACATAAAAATATATGTATCTTGAATTCGTATAGGCATAAAAGTACATACTATAATAGAAAAACGTATGTATATTAGAATGTTGTAGCAGTTGCAGTTCGTGGCAATTGATCGACTAAAAGTACCCTCTAACATCCTTAACCAAATGCTACGAATTATGTTGATAACAGTTACTTTATTACTGTTTAGTTTTGTATAATTTTGAATACATATAAATTAGTTAAGTTACATAATATATGAAGGATGAATTCATAGATATTTTAAAAAATAAATAATATAATCTATGTTCGTATATAATGGATTTGATAAGTTTCGTTCCAACATTTTTATTTATTGCTTCAAATTGGTGTATTTTGAAGATTATTGAATATTGATGTATAATATTCTATTATACATATTCTCTTCATGACATATTTATAATTACATATTCTTATATATTATTATAATTTATGATAGCCGAAAATCTTTTAATTGAGCTCAATCTTTTACAGTTTTTTTAATGTCAATTTAAGCATCTTAAATCTACACTTATGATTCCTTATGTTATTCCTTAATAGTCAATTTTATTTGATTCTTCGGCGATCCACGGAATGAAATAATTTCAGCCTTTATTGCCGTTGTCCC